TTAGTATAACTATCTCACACTTTTAATTACCAGAACTAAACCTTATAAACAATAACAGACACAATATATCCTATTTTCTCCTTAACCATCAGAGGGCACATGCACTCAGTATAAAGAGGAAGAGAGAGGGAGGAGAAAGTACTCCCCATAGGAGCACGAGCACACCACAATCCTCTCTCCTCCATTTTTGCATCCTGTTGGAATTTAGGGGAACGCATGTATAAATGCCCAGCACGTTTTTTAAGCCATGGCTGGGATTCAAAGTCAGCCATGTGTGATCCAGCTTCCTTAACCACTAGGCCATGGAAGACACAATATACTGCTCTTGCTTTCCTTACTGTGTATTTTGAATCTTCTGTGTAAAAGCAAAAAGCTATAACAAGTAACTTAGTAATTAACCTTTGTATTTACCGAATCATATCTTAAGTTATAGTAAAAAGTATAAGTATTCCTCATACACCAATGGCCATCATTTTTTAACCATTATTCCTCCTAAAGAGTTCTTGATCTGGGGCCAGCAGATGGCATGATGATTAGGTGTTGGATTCCCACATGATCGACCACAGTTTGAGTCTCAGACTCAGCAGCTTCAAAATCATGCCAGGCACATGTGTGTACATGCCCAAAATCCCAAGAAGAGAATGAAGGAGAAGGGACTGCTGCATGGCCATCCACCCTCGGGGGTGATTTCTCACTTCCCCTCTGTCTGACTGTCTCTGGTAAGTGCACATGCCTAAAAAAAAGAGTTCTTGATCTATGACCTCTTCTCCATTCCCATCCCCATTCTGTTTGCATTAAGTACTCATTTTTTCTAATCTGCAAGAGTTTCCTCATTTGTCTTCACCATCTCAAATAACCTTGCTCAATGTCCCACCCCCTAGAACCAAGGGATTTTTTTGAAAATACAAAACTGGGGCCAGGAGGTGGTGTAATGGACTATAACATAGCCAACTGCAGTTAGAGTCCTGGACCTGGAGGCTTGCTTTCTCACTTTTCCTCTCTCTCTCTCTCTCTCTCTTTCTCTCTCTCTGTCCTTCTCTGGCCAAATTTAAATGAATGAATGAATGAATAAAATTAAATGAAATAATTGGTTTTTTTTTTAAAAAAAAAAAAAAGGGGGGAAAGAAAATACAAAACTGATTGTGTTCTTTCTCTCACAGTTCTTAAGTGGCTCCCCTGTAATCCACAAGGCCCCCTCACATCCTGACCCCAGCCTACACCAGCAGCCTCATCATCCCCACTCTGCACTTGCAGCACCCTACACTCCAATGTCATGGATGGCTTACGAGGTCCCTAAGCCCATCATCGTTTCATGCCTAGAACACTCTTCTCCCCATCTTGAACTAAAGCAATAATTTCTTGTGGAGGAAACCTCTGACCTCCTTTCTTTCACCACCCCCTGAGAACTACTGATCGATCCCTTCTCTGGGACACTGTGTGTTCTGTATATATGTCATTACTTCTATCCTACTGGTCTCTGATAGTTTCTTTTCATGTCTCTCTCCCATTAGAGAAGAAACGAGGTCTGTATTCATCGTTGAATCACCTGCACCTAGACTGTGAAATATAAAGTGAATAAAGTATGAGGTATGCAAATAGGGTGTCTTATTCAGTTTTCAGAATTTGCGCTAGGTTATAAGGAGATGATTTGTTTCAAATCCCGTAAATCCTTTCAACTCTTAAGGGTCTGAAATTAGATTGAAAGTCGTTTATATCAAATTTAATATTAGCACCAAACTAGCTTTTTTTCCTTTCATTATAAGCTATTTTTAATTGCCCTACTTAATTAAACAGGTTATGCAAACAGGAATAGGATTTTACATGTTATCTTTTAATGACTCTTTCCTACTTTCCTAGATAGGTCTTAAGTCCCTTTTTTCCATCCAAGCACTTTAAACATAAAAGGTGCTTGACAAATATTTATTAATCATGTTAAGTATTAGATGAGCATTCTCCTGAGAGGCATGGTCTTTTCCTTCCCCTGCCAGTCCTGCTCCCTGGGCATGCTCGTTTAAGGTCTGCCTGTTTTTCCTCTCAGTATTGAGCAGAAAGCAGAAGCAGCATTCTCCTAGCTGCCCACTGCCAACGCTATCCCACTGTCCTCCCATTCTTTTACAGATTCCTTTCTTCCACTGAAGTTTGTTCACTCCTTCAACAAATAGTACCTGGCCTTCAACACCATGCCAGGCAGTGTGCTGGACAGTGGGAAAGTCGAGGCCCAAAATGACCAGAAGTTACTGTCCTTGGCATCACATACTTCATCAGACCTCATTTTTGAGACGCTTTTGGTTCTACAAGTCTCTTCAGTTGCTGTTTGCCTTCCTGAGCAATCTTTTCATTCCCCCAGAACCAAAGCACCCAACTAGAATCTTCCTCTGGATTCCCTAAAACTGACAACATCCTGGTGACTTGAACATTTCCCATGGATGAACTTGGCCTTATGGTTGGTTCCTTCAGTGTCAGCTCTAATAAATCATCACAACCCCCTGGCTTACCCTAGACACTGTCACTGACAAGCCTGGGATCTCTCCCTGTGACACTTCTCCTAACTGTTCGCCTGTCTCTCCTTTGTTCTTCAGACTTACGGGGAATCCTGGGACAGTGTTCACACACCCGGCAACTCCCTGCCTCCAGGAGCTCCTGAGCTGCAGATGGCTGCCCAGCATCCACACCACTTAGAAGATGGCTTCATCACATTGTTGTCTGAGCAGGCCTACTGCTGCTCTCAGAATCCTTCCCACTGCCACCCTACTTTGATATTCTCTTCTTCCACCTTCTTGCCTCCACCAGTCTCTTCTATTGGGGTTTTTCATTCAAAAAGTGAAGTTCTCTTTTCTTTTTTTTTTTCTTTTTTATTGTCAGAGGGCACGTGTACTTACCAGGGAGAGAGACAGAAAGAGAGAAAACACATCCCAGTGTGCATAGTCACATCACTATCCCTTCTCTCCATTTCTCTATCCTGTTGGGATTTGGGGCAAGCATGCACATACAACCAGTGTGTTTTTCAAGCACTGGGGCCAAGATGTGAACTATAATCAGCCATGTGGGATCCAGCTTCCTTTACCACTAAGCCATAGAGTTGGCCCAAGATTTGAGTTCCTTTGATATATCAGGTACTATTCTCGGTACTATTCTCGATACAGTAGTGAACAAGACATGTGAGCAAAGGAGTGAGACAACAGATAAAATTAAATAAGTAATGATATAGTGAGTCTTACATTTTAGGGCTTGAAGAAAATTAAGGCATGAAGACTGGACAGTGAGAGGGGTGGAGGGAACTGCTATTTAGGACGCTATTCTTATAACACTGAAAAAGGACCTTTTAGAGAAGGTGATATGTGGCAGAAAACCCAAAGAAGACAAGGGAGCAAGCCCCACAGATAAACGGGCGAAGCCTTCAGGCTGAGGTAACAGCAGTACAAGACCCTGAGGTGAAGATGCATCTGGGGTTTAGGAACAGCAAAGAGACTAAGGCAGAGGAAGCCAAGGAAGCATGATGGGAAACAAAGTCAGAGAAGAAATGAGAAGTCAGGTTATGCTGGACTGCTTTTGTTCCAAGTGACATGAGAAACCACTGGAAGGTTACAAACAGATAAGTAACATAATCTCACTGTGGTTTTTGTTTGTTTGTTTAAGAGAGTTTTTTGTTTTGTTTTTATTTTTAGCTATAGGGTGTGTGCACTCGCCAGAGAAACAGAGACAGAAAGCGAGAAATCACCCCCCAGGGGGGATGGTCACGCCACAATCCCTTCCCCTCCATTCTTTTCTCGGGATTTTGGGCACGCATAAACACATGCCTAGCCTGAGTTTTAAGCCGCCAGATCTGGGACTTGAACCACAGTTGACTAAATGGGAGTCTAGCAATGTAACCATTGTGCCATCTGCTGGTCCCCATTTGCAGGTTTTTTGTTTTTGTTTTTGTTTTTAGTTTATTTCTTCCATAAGAGGGAGACAGAGACAGGTATCCCCCAACAGGGTCCCTATACCACAATCTACCCCCAGTCTCTGCAAGCTTGGATCACAGGCAGGCAAATACATGCCCAGTATAGACATGGAGGCCCCCGGACAAATGCAGGACCCTTGCACATAGCCCCAGCTACATGGCTTCTGTGCCACTGCCTGGCCCTTACACATGTTTTTAAAGAATAACTCTGGCTACTGGGCTGAGCACAGGTGGAAAGAGGGCATGGGAAATGCAAGAAGAATCAATAGACGGTAACTCTAATATCCAGGTTAAGCTGATGGTGTCTTAGACCAGGTGGCAGGGGTAACTTGCTGGATTCCACTGTATTGTGGAGGTAGATCCACCAGGATTTGCAGATGAAAAGGCTGTAGAACATGAAAGAGAAAAGTCTAAGATGACCACAGAGGCCAGCTGCCAGGACAACAAACAGGAAGGCTTGCTGCGTGATGGCTGAGGCCACATGGAAGGCCTGCATGGGTTCTCTGCCCCCACCTAAACAGGCCGGGTTTGGAGGCACACACATGGTCCTAGCTGACAGGGAGGCTGGGGCAAGAGGGATCACAACATGGTGAGACCCTCTCAAAAACTTCCAAGTGTGTGTTCTTTCTCTCATGAAAAGAAAAATAAAAGATTACAAAATGTTTTACCTGAAAAGTTCCCGAATATAAGCTTTCACTATCAAAATCTTATGAAGTATGCTTACTCCTCCAGGTGGCCCTGCGACTTTGTCCTGGTCCTGGGAGCACTGTGGTTGACTTAAGTTTCTGCCGTAGTCCAGCCATCTGCAGACCCTATGAAAGTCGTCTGGAGGTAATGGAGCATTTCTAGAGATGATCTCTTTTCACACACTCTTCTAGACTTGCTCTCTAAATACCTTCAGTCATTTCCATATTGTATAAGTAGGCATTTAATTAAAAGGCCATGCTTTGATCAGAGTAAATGGAGTATTATTTAATTTTGCAGTTTTTATTTCCAGCTCTAATAAACGTATCTACACATTTATAAGCAGAATTGACATTAAATAAACAGAACATACCACTTCTTCCACCGTGGCAGGACCTTTTGATCTCAGGCGAAGCGTCCCTCTTCCAGTACCGATTTTCTCTTCTGACACTTTCCCAGCTTTTGACCTTGGCTCTATTTCTATAAACACACAATGAATGGGAACAGGCACACAGATTCAGAGAGAATACCTACAGACTGCCATGAAAGCTAACACAGTTTCTATCACAACACTATATATAATTGCTATAGATTTTTGATAAAAGACATGCCTTCTTACAGAATTTCCAAAAACAACATAAATTTTTCTGTATTATTTTCATATGAGAATCTCTATAAGAGTTCTGGCTGCAAAAAGAAAAGGGAAAATGTAAAATGTACACATGGGAAAGGCTGGAAGTGATTAGGAAGAAAAAATAAAACAGTGGGCTTTATTTAAAAGAGGAAAACATAGGGGCCAGCAGGTGGCAGGGTGGCTGAGGTGCTGGACTCCCACATGGCCAACCACAGTTCAAGTCCTAGACCTGGCAACTTGCCTTCTTACTCTCTCTCTGTCTCTCTCTGATGAGTGCATGTGCCCTGTAACAAATTAAAAAATGATAATAATGATAAATAAAATTTATAATCTTTTAAAAACAAGAAAAATAAAAACAGAGGAAGACATGGAAGCGGCAGGAAGTAGCAGTAAGAGTTCAGCTAGATTTCATCCAGCTCATGAAGAAGGGAAGGCTCATGCCTTGACAGAAGAGAGGAGCAGAGGCACTGTTAGTGGAGTACCTGCCTTTGTTTGATGTTTCATGTACAAAATCCCATTTAATACTCATGCCAGCCTATGTCGGTCATACTCACCCTCATTTTACAGATAAAGGAATTGAACTTAGAAGTAATGCTGGGATTCAGAACCCGGCCTTGTGGGCATAGACCAGACCTACTTGATTTGGTCACAATATTCCAGCCCACACCTCTTGGAAGAATGAGGGATAGATTCAGGTGACACACTTAGAATGAGGTCTAAAGAAATCGGCTGGGAGCAAATTCCAAAGAAGGAATTGCCCACAGACTGACCGCAGGTGTGAGAACAGGAAGCAAGAGTCCATAAGAAGCCACTCTTTTCAAATGCTTATTTTTTTCTGTTGAGTTTTATTTTGGTTACGTTTTCGCAATGTACCAACAATGGTCACGCCACAATACCCAGCAGTGACATAAGTGAGTAAAAGGGAAGGGTGGGGACTAAGGATAACCAGAAGGGGGCTGCCTAATCTAGGCCACTCTAATAACTCATTGCCCTGTAGGAACACAGCCCTGCAGAGTCAGATCATTTACTTTTTTTTTTCAAAGAAACTGCATACGGACAGTTTCATATGCATGTCCTTGTTTTTTGTTTGTTTGTTTGCTTTTTTAGATTTTTGCCATAGGGCTTGTGCCCTCACCAGAAAGAGACAGAGAGAGGGAAAGTGGAAAAGCACCCTCCAGGGGCAATGTCCACACCACAATCTTTTCTCTATTCTCCTGTCAGGATTTTGGGCACACATACACACACCCCAGCATACCACCGAGTCCAGAACTCAGACTGTACAGTTGGTCATGTAGGATCCAGCTTCTTAAACACTACACTACCTGCTGGCCCCTAAATGTCATTTTTAAGTTTAAGTTTAAGTTTAACTGAGTCAAATGTTAAAAACAACATTGGCAAAAAACAAGATGTCTGTCAGTCAGATTCCAACCACAGGCCACCAGTTAAGAACCTCTGCAAGTACACTGAGACCCCCCCCCCATCTGTGCAGTAGCAGTTTGGGACAAGGGTGAGGGGGCAGACGCGGCACCAAAGAACTGGAGACACCTGAGCTCCCATGAGGAGCCACAGCATGGGCTGGTAACTGTGAGCAAATAGTGAGGTCTGTTCAAAGCTCTCAAAACATGGACGCCAAGTGCCTACACAAATGTGCTCTTACTGACTGAGGGCCAACAATTCCAGTCTTCAATCAAGTCCTGTTTTGCTATTGAGAATCTATAGCAGATTGGTGAAGAGGATTTTACATATTAATGTTAGCCTGTATTTACGGACAGAATCACCAAACATAAAACCTAAGTTTTATTGAGGATGAAATTTTACCAAATCATGATGCAATGAACAGACCAGGTCCTCCTAAGCAAACACCTACTCATGGTGGCTGATGAGTTTTGGGATCACTCAAACGTTAATCATGGTGACAACCAGACTCTCAGAAGACTATAGCTGTATCGTAACCCTACAGCGTTGGCCTTGCTGGTTGCAATGTATGCTGTGTGAAGAAAGGACGCTCACAAGAAGTCTCAAGAAAAGTACCCAGAGAGAAAGATGAGGTATGTCCACCATCAGCACCTTCTAAGACCTGTACTGCCCAGCAGTGTCACAGTTCCCAGCTCAGAGTCAAGGGTACCCCTAAAGTGGTGAAGAGAGTCTCAGCTTAATGACCTTAGCCTTAAGCCAAAGACCCCCACCCAAAGCCCTCTGATTTCACCACCCCAACTACTCAGTACAATTTGTCTTCCCATATAAATTTCCCACAGGGCGGAAAATGAACTGCTAAACTCCCATGTGTGTTTTGGTCTAACACTACATATACATTTCTAATTATAAAGTAATATTTGGGCATCCTGACTTATCAACCAGTATCTCTTATAAGTTTGGTGAGCATGATGTAGCCCTGAAATAGTGAACAAACTCAGAAAACACTGGGGGGGGGGGGGGCACAGATTTCAAGGACTTATAAAGCTATGGATGCAGGCTCTGGAATGCAGGGGTTTCATAAAGGTATTGCCATCCCTGTTTGACAAGTCAGTGGACCTCTCTAGACAGTGTCTGTAGCTTAGGTGACTATTACCTGCAACACTAGTAACAAGAAGGAAAAAATGTACATGGAATGAAAGAGTTCTTGACTCACACAGAAAGTACAGAGTTCCCACAGGGCCCCAGGGATCAGGTATACCCAGCCTCCCCTGTCATCAAGATCCCCCACCAGAGTAGGACATCTGTCATAATGATGGACCCACATTGGCGTATCATCCCCCCAAATCCATAGTTTACATCAGGATTCACTCTGGGTGCTGTACATTCTGAGTCCGGACAAATGCATGACAAGCTGTATCTACCACTGTAGAATCAAACAGAATATTTTCATTGCCCTAACAATCCTCCATGCTCTGCCTGCCCATCCCAGATTGTTTTTAATCATGTATTGCCATGCCATCTTCATCTCAAAATGGCATTCTCAAAACTAACCACTTGGTGGCACCAAAGCAAAAGTTAAGTTTCAAGCTCTGGCTTGGCCAGGCCCCCAGAAAGGACATGGAAGCCATGTTTCTCTCTAGTCCTGAGTCAGACAGACGAATCGACCTGTGTATATATGAAGACAGGCAGGTTGGTCTTGTTCACCTGCAGGGGAAGAAAACAGAGTTGATGTTTGGGAATGTTTTGAAGACTGAGTGTTCATGTCTGGCCTACATTAGTGGTACTCACCTGTTGAATCATGTCTGACCAACACGCCAAGCCCTCGATCAGTCACTTCACAAGAACAGATTGGAACAAGGCCTTCTTGGGGCTGAGTGACGGGACAGATGTGGTACATACAGGAGACACCAGTAATCAGCCTGCAGCTAGCTGATTTACTAGATTCATTGGGGCTCCCCATTAAGCAAACTGACCACCTGCCACCTGTAGGTCTCTCACAGCTGTGGGTGCCCGACTGCTCCAGATTGAGTTGCACATCACCAAGAGGCAGCCATGGTTGCTTCCCAGCCTTTTTGCAGCAATTGTATCTGCTATTCTAATTACACGATTTAATTTAAAAGTATAGAAGCTGATGAAATGAGTGTGAAATGAGTTATTATGGCTATGAAAACTAGGTTGACTATTTTGGAAAGACTCCAAAGAGTGAAATACAAGAAAAAAAAATTAGGTGTGGGCAAGATGACTCTGAAGATTAGGAAAACATTTTCAATATCCATCATTTCACATGACTTAAATTTTAAAAATAAAGCCAACGTATATTCATTAAAGTTGTGATTATAAAAGAAAGACATCACAGAGGTCCAACCTATGTCCTCTACTCAAACAAAAGGCCTTTTACATCATGGTAAAAGAATGTGTTTCTATGTTTTTAATTTAAATACTTACATATACATGTATCATTCTGTTATGAGACTTGACCTCATCTCTTTATTTTTTGAGGTTTCTGCCTTAAGGTGCGTGCACTCCCCAGAGAGACAGAGATAGTAAGAGGGAAAGTAAGAAAACACACCACCTCCACTCTCAGGGAGGATGGCCACACTGCAATCCCTTCTCCTCCGTTCTCCTCCCTGGATCTTGGGCATGCACACACACATGCCCAGCATGATTTTCAAGCCACTGGGTCCAGGATTCAAACAGTGGTCAGCCATGTGGGAGTTCAATGACACAACCACTACACCATCTGCTGGCCTCCTGTCCTGCCATTTTAAACAAACAGATATATCCCCAGTTACTTTCTTTCTTTCTTTTTTCTTTTTTTTGAGAGGTTTTGCTATAGGGCACGTGCACTTGCCAGAAAGACAGAGAGAGACAGAGAGACAGAAAGCGAGAAATCACCCCCCAGGGGGATGGCCACGCCGCAATCTCTTCTCCTCCATTCTCCTCTCAGGATCTTGGGCATGCACGCACATGCACCTGGCGTGAATTTATGCCACCAGGTCCGGGACTTGAACCACAGTTGACTACATGGGAGTTCAATGACATAGCCATTACGCTAACTGCTGATTCCTATCCCCAGTTTTTATATAGTGCAGCTCAGATATAAAGATGGGGAAATGGAGAAAGCAGAAAGGTGTTTGTCTCTAGTCCTAACCTGAAACCCTGTACCTGAGCCTAATGGCAAGCGGCACGGAGAAAAGTCAACAGTATTACTTTCAGAAGGAACACTCGCAACATGGCTAAGACACTCCAGTCACAGAGAGCGACACAGTAGGGAAGCTGGACATTCTCCCCATCTCCTCACAGCAGCCTTGTCCTGGTCCCAAGAGGGCCCTGGCTGGCCTAGAGGACAGAGCCCACTGACAGAGCATGGGCAGAGACCACAATTTCAATGGGAAGTGTGCAGTTTATCCAGCAACTGCTCAGTGAGCAA